CATCTGGTGTATTTGTAAGAAGAAGTGAGGTATTTTGATGGGAACCATTTGGAGACCATTTTTATGATGTTGACAATTCTTCTCTATCCCAAGATTTAAGACCTTGTGCAGTTATATGAAGTAAGTGTGGAAAAATATTTGGATAAAATAAACTGTAGTTGTTTGACAACCACATGTGCAAAGCAAAGGGAATAACTGTTCTGAGGACAGCAACATCTCTCTCTGGACCTTATGGGGCATTATATTTGACTTAGTCAGATTCATTTAAAAATCCTGAGCCATTGCATCTCAGACATCAAGTAAGGTAGCAATATGTTCAGGTTGTGGATGAAAAATAAGATTTCATTAGCAAATGCTGACAGAATGTGGTGGGTCAGAACAATCTGTATTTCTTGTATGTATGGGTTCAAATTTTCAAAATTTTGTTTAGAAGTTTCCAGTATCGACATAAAAATGGTAGAGGATAAGGGGCAAACCCTTCCTAGGTTAATAAACTCCCATTTACATTACTGTTGGCCAAGAGGTTTTGGTATGAAGCTGAAATGTCAGTATATGGAATTGCAAACCTAATAACCATAGTACCTCCTCTTTAAAGGTCCAGTCCACCCTATCAAAAACTGCAGACAGGATGAGAGTAGACCCCTTCTGTTTTTTTTTTCTGTTACTCCTGGTGAGATTAAGCCCTCTATTGGTCCCAGGGGCGTATTTTACCTCAAGGCAGCATTTATCAGGGGGCAGAGCTGCCCCCTGGAAGAACGGACACACATGGCATGGGGCCCATGTGGGATCCAAGAGAGGCTTCAGGCTGCTTGACAGTTCATGCAGAGCTCAACTCTCGTTCCCAGGAATACTGTTAAGGTGAATGTCTGTGAGTGTCTTTCTCTCCCTTGCCAGTGGGGGCGAGAGGGATGGTGGTGGGTGTATGGGAACAGTGTTAGTCGAACGTCCTCTGGACCGGGGGGTGGAGTTGGTGTTGGTCGGTGTTAGGCTCTCTCCTTTGGGGGGAGGGAGTTGTTGGTCAGTGTCAGGTTCTCTCGGCGGGGGGGATTGTGGTTGATTTGTGTATTGCCTAGGGCAGCACAAAAACCTAAATACACCACTGATTGGACCTGGTTATCATTGTTAGCAAGACAGAAAGTAATAGGAAATTCAAAATTTTGCAGTTGTCACAGAAGCAGGAGGTAATGGAAAATCTTCCAGTGGGAACTGTCTCAGATTGAAATCATTACCTTTTGCATTAATAGTACAGGAAGTGATGGGAAGTCTCAACCCAATGAGGCACAGAAAGCCAATATAACCTGATGAAGTTTTATCCCTTTACTACTGTATCTAAAATAAAAAATAAAAAAAAGGTTTGGGCTAAATATACACAGAAAATGAATGAGGTTATTATACTTTTAAGCAAAAGAAATCATGGCATACTGTAGTGGGTCTGTAGAAAAGGTATATAAGATGTCCTAAAATAGTCAATTACATTTTCTTTGGCTATCTCTTCTCTATAGGAGTTCTATAATTCTGCTGCTTTGCAAAAATAGAATTGAGAAGAGAAAAGTGAAAGCGAGACATCCAGCTATTTCAGAAACACAATACAGCAATAAAAGTACCCATTGCATTTTGCACTGTTTAATGGAATACGCATGTACTGTGCATAAACCTTTAATCTGAAATAGACCTAAACTTAAAGCTGCAGATCCCCCTTTCCTCCCTAGTAATTAGATATTTTGTTCTGCTCTTAGGTAATTTCTTCATTATTTCTGTGTTGGATCATGCAATCGATATTGTGGCATTGGAATGATCATATGATTTCTGCTGATACAGAAGAATTCTGGGGGCTGACATTAGGCAGATATGGTGGTTTCCCAGGTCCATAATAATATCTCCCATGACCCTCTTATTGAGACCATGTGCTTTGGACTGGTCACTTTCTTGGACTTTGGAGGGGCACAGAATTAACCTAATTAGATAAAATGTAAAGTTTTTTTAAATTATCATTTTAAATGGTTCTTCAGTTAATTTTGATTAGTTTTGGACAGAATGGACAGAATGGGGAATTGTTAGATCTCTCCCTTTTTTGTTGTCTTTGTGCTTGCTGGGGAGATTTCACCCATTTTTTTTGGCGTATTATACTAGAGTCTCCTGCTATTGGTCTCAGTGTGCAAAATGGTGAGGTTTTCCCTTGCTTCATGTTCTAGTAATGCTTTACTTTTAAAAATGTGACAGGGGGCACTGGAGTTGGAAATGAGGGGAAATAATACAGGAACCAAGGTCAAATCTCCAAACTGGAACAAAGACAGCAAGTAGAAACTAAAAGGGTTTTATTTGAACCTTTCTTCACTCCATCCAAAACTAAGAAACATTTTTTAACTATTTAATCTTACATATTTAGGATGCACTAACAATGGCAGTTTTAACCATGCTCACGCTTGGTTCACCCGCTTTGATCTGGTTCATATATGTAGTATGAGTGCCCTGAACAATGCCTGGGAACTGATAAATGTACTGTGTTGGGGACTACTTAGAAGAGGTAGTTCCTGACACAGCACACACAAGGTCTGGCACAGAACTTAGCACAGACACAGGGATTTATTGTAGCCTGATTGGCAGACAAGATGACATAAGTCTGCTCTGAAACACTGGAATATAGCCCAGTGGGTGCAGATCAGTTTTGGAGTGGAGAAAATTGAACTTGGGCAAGGTTTAGTTCAGCTGTGTCCAGTGTGAGTGCATCTATAAAGCAGGGCTTTGCCCAAAAAGGGGAAGTTCCACTTTAAGGCTTCACCCCCTGCTTCCCATTAAGGATTGGCACCTTTGGGGAGTGGGGGGGTACCCAAATTTGACAGGTACCTGCGTCCACTTCTGCTGAGATTGCCTAGGTGATCAAAAGCGGAATTAGTTCTCCCCCCTCCCTCCCCGTAGTCTTTTGGGACATGTGACAGGTCCCAGAAGACTATGGGCCATTCACAAAGTGCAGCACTACTCGTGCATGCACAGTTGGCACCCAGTTGTGAAGCCACATCCAAGGGATAGGTGAGTATCTGTTTTATTTTAAAGATAGCAGCTACAGTTTTTGTAGCTGATGACTTTTATTTTTTTCATATATATTGACTGGACCTTCGCTGTAACTAGTGCAAGTGGAATAAACATATATTTAAATAATCCAGGTAGCTTAAACACTTTCATTTATAGGTTTAGAAGCACTATAATGAAAAAATATTTACCTTCATCTTTTTATTTGCTAAATATGTTGAAAACTAAAATCTTTACAATGATGGGATCAGCTTTCTAAACATATACTTATAAGTGCTATTTTGGAGATGACATGTTAAAGTATGGTGATAGTCACCTTTATGTTCAGTACATGCATATCATTTATGCCTGTTACTTTATTTTATATTACTGAGATAAGATTCCTTATCACCATTACTTTATTCTGATCACGTTACTCAGCAGAAAGTTTTCTTTGTTTTGCAGGAGACTTTTTATGGTTAGCACCATAAGTGCCACTAAGTGGTATTATATCTTTGATTTACTTGACATTCAGTGAAGCATAGAGTTTGGCAAGCATGTATGCTTTAATAAAAGCTTTCAAATTTATAGTTCTGGCTGCAGAGGCCTGGAAGATGTTCTTCCTGTGAAGCAATACAGACGCCATTTTGAATTTATAGTCTTGCATTAGTTCCCTTGGTGGCTGTGGTAGCCAACAGTATGAGAATAATTCTTACTGCAGCACCTTTCTTTACTTGTTTGGGACTGTATTAAAACATACATTACTAACACCATCACCAATGAATAATACTCAGATTGGCAAACAGCATAATGGACATACATGCATTAACTGCATTTGCCTGGGTTCACTTAATGGAAATGCAATAACCTGTAGCAAGGGTGAGGTTTGGATTCACTGCTATCAACAGCTTGATTCAATTTATGCAGGTTCATAATTTATGGTCCTGGGAATGTTTTATTCAGGTTCACCCAGGAGAATTTTTTTTAACTAAAATGTTCAGCATGGCCTCTAAACTTTGGTACCCAGGCTTAAACAAAAATGGTGCTTTTTGATAATTCAGGTCCCTTACTATAAAAAGGTAATATTGGGCATGCATAGTGTCAATGTATTGGAAGCTAATGTAGAGATAGGATAGGGAAAGCTAACAAACTGCATAGGGACATATTAGGGTCAGTGATAACATTGTACTTTAATTCTGATTGATAACTATTTGATCAATCAACCCCTTTTGTGGTTAGGCAGTCAACATGCCCTTTTCCTATTATTTGTAGCTTTTGCATCCTTAATTGTCGTTTGTGGTTGATTTGAGATGAACAATTATTTTTAGCTTCTTCCTACTCATAGCAACTTTGTTGTAAGGCCTATCTTTAAAAAAAAAGTATTTTTTACGATTTAATGGTATATTGAGATTGTCATTTATTTTGGGGTCATGTTGGTACTATTTTATGTTGAGAGTCTATATTTTAGATTAAACTGTTTTTTATTTATTACTTTTTTATTTTATGTTTTTTTTATTGCCTAAAGTAGAGCATTCACTTGTTACTGACAATTTGGGGCTGCATTTCGTTCACAGCACAACACTGTGCCAATTGAAAGAAAAAAGTGAAGTGCAAGAAAAGTGTGCACCAAAACCATTTGACATTATATCACTCACATTCACAGCAACCTCCATTTCCTATTAGAAAAATTAAAGTTAGACATCCACTTAGGTATTTTATCCCTGATTAAAACTGTCCTGCCACAGACTAATTTTCCACTACTGTAGTATGTTAATTCTTATAGTAAAACTCCTGTGCTCTTTGTTTCTAGCACATTTCAGCTAATTATCCTTCATCAAAAATATCCTGTTGTGCAAAGGACAGTTTTATATCAGTGGGAATAAGGAGAGACTCAGTAATCTACCTACGAAATTCTATCTGCCGATCAAACTGGCCTATAATTGCTTCATCAAAAAGTATAGCTTCTTAAGTTAAGCTTACAGATTGGGAAGTGTGCAGCCAGGGGCGGACTGACCATTTGGAAACTTGGGCACTGCCCGAGGGCCCGGGGTCAGTAGGGGGCCCCATGAGATGCCCCTGGTACCTTTTTTCATAGGCTTTTTTTAGTTTGGGCAAGGACACAGGGGCCCCATGATCCCATATTGTCCGGGGGGCCCATGAGTTGTCAGTCCACCCCTGTGTGCGGCTAACAGTCAGACTCCAGAGCTGGTGGGACATGCCCCCAGCATGGGAAGAAACCTGCTTTACAGGTTTAAGTATATGTGTGTATATATGTAAATATAGTATATGTGAACACCCAGAACTGAAGTTTTTGACTCATGAAAACAGCACAGATATCAGACGTCAGAGAGGAACAACACTTGCTGCTTTGGATTCAGATATATAAAAGCACCTAAGGCTTAGCATATGAACCATGTAGGAAAACCAGCTAACAGAGCCAGATTTATGTTTGTGATGACCTGTAAAGGCTAAAGTGGTGACCTGTAAAGGCCTTTAGAACGTCGCCTATGGATATTAAAAATGTACGTAATTTCTCGCCATTGCACAGGCATGTGTAATTTTAAAGCATATCATGTTTGTTATCCATTTACTCAGCATAACATCATCGTTTATATATGTTATCAAACAACTGGACATTATACTGTGTTTTGGTGCATTAAAATTCTAAAACGTTTTTTTTTTTTTTTTTAAAAGTGTGCATTTGAAAAATTGCTGTTGAAATACTGTGTGACGTAAAAAATTTCAACACCCTCCATTTTATTCTTCAGGCTTTAAAAAAAAAAAAATTATATATACTGTATTTTTCGCTCCATAAGACGCACCTAGGTTTTAGAGGCAAAAAACAGGAAAAAAAATTCTGAACCAATGGACTGCAGACATAGTACAGGAGATGACCAGAGACTGCGGACACATTACAGGAGATGACCAGAGACTGAGGACACAGTACAGGGGATGACCAGAGACTGCGGATATAGTACAGGAGATGGCCAGAGACTGCGGACATAGTACAGGATATGGCCAGAGACTGCGGACATAGTACAGGAGATGACCAGAGACTGCGGACATAGTACGAGATGACCAGAGACTGCGGACACGGTACAGGAGATGACCAGAGACTGCGGACATAGTACAGGATATGGCCAGAGACTGCGGACACGGTACAGGAGATGACCAGAGACTGCGGACACAGTACAGGAGATGACCAGAGACTGTGGACACAGTACAGATGACCAGAGACTGCGGACATAGTACAGGGGATGACCAGAGACTGCGGACATAGTACAGATGACCAGAGACTGCAGACAGTGCAGGGAATAACCAGACTGCAGACAGTGCAGGGGATACCAGAGACTGCAGACAGTAAAGGAGATGGCCAGAGACTGCTGACCTTTGGGGAGGGAGGGGGAGCGGGTAACTGAATTTGACAGGTACCCGCTCTCACTTCCGCGGCATTGTCCTTCTCTCTTCTTCCCGCGCCGGCTTCTGTGACAGCCGGGTGCCCACTGCTCATGTGCGAGAAGCGCTGCGCTTTGTGAATGGCCCGGCGCCTTCTGGGACCTGTCATGTGTCCCAGAAGGCACCGGACCATTCACAAAGCAAAGCGCATGCGCAGTGGGCACCCGGCTCTCACAGAAGCCAGCGCGGGAAGACTGTGCAGCGCTGGAGCGAGGAACAGGTAAGGCCCTGTAAGAGAGAACAGCTGAGCGGCCGGCCCAGTATTCTGACATGGTGGCGGCAGAAATACCGGACCGGCCGCTTTATATTCGCTCCATAAGACGCACTGACATTTTCCCCCCTTTTTTGGGGGGAAAAAAGTGTGTCTTATGGAGCGAAAAATACGGTGTATATATATATATATATATATATATATATATATATATATATTTATTTATATATATATTTATTTATTTATATATATATATATTTTTTTTTTATATATATATATAATGTTTGGGGGTTCAAAGTATTTTTCCAGCACAAAAAAAATGTTTTTCAAGGCTTGGTCTTCAAGTGGTTAGAAAAGTGGATGATTTCTGGCACAAGTCTCTAATGTTGGCCCTGAAATGCTAGGATAGTAGAAGCACCCCTGCCCCCCCCCCCCCCCAAATGACCCCTTTTTGGTAAGCAGACACTCCAAGGTATTTTCTAAGAGGCATAATGAGTATTTTGCAGATCTCATTTGTTGCCACAAGTTTTTGGATAACGAGGAAAGAAAACAAAAATATATTTTTTCTTTTCTTTTATTCTTTTTCAAAACTCTGTGACAAAAATGATATCTGCAAAATAATCACCATGCCTCTTATCAAATTCCTTGGGGTGTCTACTTTCCAAAAAGTGGTTGTGTGGGGGGGGGTGTTTGTACTATCCTGGCATTTTAGGGCCTCTGAAACTGTGATAGGTAGTGAGGAAGTGATATGAGGAAATATGTCCTCTGAAAGCCTGGAGGTGGTCATTGGATTTTGGGGCCGTGTATATGTCTAGGCTGTCAAAAAGTCTCTCACATGAGGTATCCCCATACTTGGGAGAAGTAGCAGAATGTGTTTTGGGGAGTTATTCCACATATACCCATGGCATGCATGAGCAATATATTATTTAATTGGCAAATTTGAGTACAAAAAAAAAATAGTAATTTTCCAACAATTTGTGGTAAAAACTAAAATGTTCCATGGACTCAACATGCCTGTCATCAAATTCCTTGGGGTATCTACTTTCCAAGTAAATAGTAAAAGCTGCGTAAATTCCAATATATATACTATAGTTTGTAGACACTACAGATTATTTTTTACCAAAGACATGTAGCAGAATACATTTTAGCCTAAATTTATGACTAACTTTGAGTTTACTATATATTTTTTTATAACTGAAAGTAAAAAATATAATTTTTTCTCTACATTTTCGGTCTTTTTTCTTTTATGTCACAAAAAATAATAACCCATTGGTGTTTAAATACCACCAAAAGAAAACTCTATTTGTGGGAAAACAAAGGCCATAAATTTAGTTTGCATACAGCATTGCATGAATGTGCAATTACCAGCTGAAATAGTGCAGTCCCTTCCGGAGGGTAAGTGGTTTATAAGGATTTGTGTTGCCCTTGAAGCCACATGAAAAGGCCCTGTCTCTGCTGTATAGTTTTTGTTTTTTGCATTTGTACATGTCCCTCATGGCAATGGCCAACTTCCCTTGCCTTTTTATGACTGTAGTTTTCCTATTAGCCCTCAAAATTGTTAGAATTTAATAACAAGACTCCTTATAGACTTCAATGGGATTTGCAAGTTTGGTTTTGCTAAAAATAAATAACAGGATTTGCTTAACCGTTGGTGAATCCAACTCGGGCAGAGTTTTTTCATCCCAAAAAAAAATCAAGAATATTTGTTTTTTTCTATACTGTAATGTTATTTTAGATTTAACATTTTATTTTTTTTAATTAATATGCCAAAATACAGAGTATGCACAGTTAAACCTATTTACAAATATATGTTGCGCTCCTGAATATTTCTCAATTACTAATAAATAATAATTAGATTAATGCCATTAAATTAATTCAAATTCATAATACAAACAACTCATTTTTCAATATGGGACTATTGATTTGATGATATTTGGATTTATATTAGTCACTAATTAATGATTTATGAGCATTTGGTCACTTTTATTTATGGGGGAATATTTAAATGTGATTAAGTTGATGGTTATAAGTTGGTTAAAAATTTTTTAATTAAATTAATTGTGGGTATTATGAATTTAAATGAAATTGAGGGTTTTAGCAAGTATAATATGTCACTAATTGATGATTAATGAGCACCCGATCACTATTTTTATTTTAGAGGAGTATTTAATGTGCAATTAATTTGAAATTGATTTGAAGGTGATAATTTGGTTTTAAAATTATTTAATCACTTTATTTGGCATTTATACACTTTTATGAGTTGTTTGTATTATGAATTTGAATTAATTTAATAGCATTAATCTAATTATTATTTATTAGTAATTGAGAAATATTCAGGAGCTCAATATATATTTGTAAATATATTTATACACAGTTGTAGTTATGTGTTTCATGTTGGCGATCCTCTAGAAATTGTCACACATTTGGCTCGCAAATTATTCCAATTTACATACACAGTTAAACCTGCCACCAAGATGATTTGCTGCCCAAGAGTTCCCCTGCCTTAAAATTTAAGAATGATAGTCAAGTAGTCAGTAGTTTAACCAATAAAGGTAAGATAAAAAAAAAATAATGGTGCTCCCAAAGGTAGGCTACAAATTCTACAAAAAGAATGTCCATAAAAAGTCTCTGAGAGACCTAGACAAAGATATTAAGAAATGAAATAGGTATAATCTATGTAGAGTAGGTGAAGGTAAGAGGCATTAGGGGTTAATGAAGTCAAATATCCTGCAGCACCTTGAGGAGGATCAGGAAAAAATTCAGTTGGTGCAGAAAGTAGAAACAAAAATGGTGCAGAAGTGTACAATATTAACCACTTAAGCTCTGGAAGATTTTACCCCCTTCATGACCAAGCCATTTTTTTTGCAATGCACTACTTTAACTGCCAATTGCGCAATCATACAATGCTGTAGCCAAATGACATTTATATAATTTTTTCACACAGAGCTTTATTGTGGTGGTATTTGATCACCACTTGCCTTTTGATTTTTTATTATATAAACAAAAAAAAAAACAGCATACAGTGCATGGATACTATTTTTTTTATCAGTTATAGTGTTTATTTTATTACTACAATCATGTGCCCTGTTTTTGTTTCTATTTTCTGCGCCAGTAATCTAACCCATTACTGGAATTTTCACTAACCACCATAGACTGTCTGAATTAGATTTTTATTCTCCTGCATTTGTGCATTTTTTTCTTCAACAAATCAAACACATACAGTGGGGATCGAAAGTTTGGGCACCCCAGCTAAAAATTTGTATTAATGTGCATAAAGAAGCCAAGGAAAGATGGAAAAATCTCCAAAAGGCATCAAATTACAGATTAGACATTCTTATAATATGTCAAGAAAAGTTAGATTTTATTTCCATCATTTACACTTTCAAAATAACAGAAAACAATAAAATGGCGTCTGC